CGGGAAACCTCCCAGTGAAGAAAAACTCGGACGGGGCTGGGGCAGCTCCTCTCCCGAGGGATTTTCCATCTCCCCAGCRCCCACCCCACGCTCCTGGCTCTGCTGGAGCATCTCCCGGGAAAGGGGGGRGTTCCAGAGTGGGAAGCACGATGGGGGTGGTGGTGGGGTGGGGTGACCACTCTCAACATTCCCAGCAGGATAGGAATGGCCCGGGAATGCAGGGATCAGCGGCGACCCCGGGGGTCACACCCCGACCCCAAAATTGGGAGTCCTCGGTCACCTCCGGCCCCTCCTCATCCTCGGTGCCACATCTCGAGGGCATTCCTGGGACCCCCACCCCGCTCAGACCCTGCTGCTGCTGCTGCTGCTTGGGAATAATCCCAGACTTCCTCTGTTTTGGGATCAAACCCAGGGTGCCCAGATGCRTCTGGGGCAGGAAGAGGAGGGTGTGGGAGGAAGAACGGAAAGGACCAAGCCCTCCCATGGCAGGAAGAGCTGGATCCTAGAAAACCCTTTTCAGGGTTTTTTTCCAAGCTGTCCCTATTTCCAACACTTTTTTTTTTTTTTTTCCTCAGGAGCCACCTCCAGCGGTGCCCCCATAAAACCCCCGAATGTCCCTCATGTCCCTGCGGAGGCCAGCTGAGCTCCGCAGATTTTTCTTTTTCCCAATTATTATTATTATTATTATTAATTCCAATGCTGGCTGTAAAAAAAAAAAAAAAATTAACTTTTCCCCCTCTGAGGAGGCTCCAATTGTCCCCCCCCGGGGGCCATGTCCCAGCCCCTCTGTCCACGACCTTCCCCCCTGAGCGCCTCCACTCCCACAGGACCGGGAGCCTGGCCAAGGAAACTGCTGGAAAAAAAACAAGATTCGAGGAAAAAAGAAAAAAACAACACCCACCAAGGTCCGGTGCAGGCAGGGGAGGGCAGTGGGAGCCCGAGGGTGGAAAATCCAACAGGATCTCCCCCCGAGAATGCCAAAGGAATTACAGAATCACCTCAAAGCAAAGCGTCCGACAGCCCGGGGAGGGGGGGTTTAGGGATTCTGATGGAAAATGGGATCTGGGAAGAGAAGGGGAGCTCGGGCATTGTCTGACCTGCCCCRAAAGGGGCCGACCTGCTCCAGGATAAGGCATCAAAGGGACCACGCCATGGTCGCAGCAACATCTCTCCTTTCTCAAACAAACACATTTTATATTTTTATATATATAATAATAATATAGAATCTTTTCTCTTTTTTTTTTTTTTTTTTTTTTTTTTTTTTTTTTTTTTTTTTTTTTTTTTTTTTTTTTTTTTTTT